TCGTTACGTGAACGCGTGTTGCTGTTTAAACATAGGAAAATGAGAGTACATACTTTTTCAAGACATATTTATATCCTTGTTTTATTGTTTTAATTACCATGATACATACGTAATACGATAGTTTTGTAATTATTTAGCAACAAATTAACAATAAAACAAATCTATTGTTAAAAAAAAATATTCTATTGAAATAAAACATAAGGTCTATATTTATTACATTAATTGATAAATAAAAAATTTCTTTCATTATTGCGTATTGTGTTTATAAAACAACAAATTTAAAATTAATTTATCTTCTATTTTCTTAATAAATCTGATTTCATAAATCGTCGTTAATTCTATTTTCCAAATAAACATTCGCATAATTATTATTTAGTAAATTACTCATTAAATTTGGAGTAGATTTTGTTTAATTGCAGCAACGGTACAGTAAATGATAAATTATTCTAATTAACACTGACATCGATACGCTATTGTTAATGTAATTATAAACCTTTATCTATCAAAGCATATTTTGATTTAACAAATGCTATATTATTTTTTTATCAATTTGATTTCGATAGAAAATGATTGTAATGACACATTTTATGGGAAATTTTTATTTTAATGTTATTTTAAATAAGAATTGTTTGTAATATTATCAATATCTTGGCACTTTTGCGTGTTTCTTTAGACGAAGAAGCAGTTTTATCGTATCATCATGGCGTGATTGAACATTAAAGCAAAATTCATTATTCATTATAATTATAAGCTCACTTGAAAATGTCATTTTTTTAGTAGAACTTGCAGCTTGTAATTACTTTAATATCCTTTTAATAATATTTCCCTTAAAACCTAGTTATATACAAATTATTAAATTTCGTCAACGTCATTCACCAGTTATCCAAAATCACTGCGATTTAAAAAAATATTTGTATTAATGTATAGTTTTTTATTTTATATATTATATTCATATTATATATATATATATATATATATATATATATATATATAAATAATATATGAATATAATATATAATATGTTTATAATATAATATAATATAATATAATATAATAATATATAATATATTTATATATTATTTTTAAACAACAATTTAACTATTTTATAAAAATACAATTTTCGTCTACTATTTTAAATCATATATTATTTCCATATCAGCCGATTCGTCAATTTGGTCGATACAGCATCTTTGGTTAAGCCTTTAAAATATACAATAATCGTATTTCAAGAATTTAATGAATAACCAAGAATGTAAATTATTTTAAAATTAGAATGATCGCCATGACTAGGCGAATTTATGAAATCTATAAAGTGCCGTGAGAGTGACACCCCTCAAGAATATTTGGATTGGAATATGAATTTATTGTGGGTATCGTTGATCGCGGCCGATCATAAATAATATTTCCATTGTCAAGATAAACTTCAAACCATAATAGATACGAGAGCTCAAGGTTTGAAAATTAAGTTTAAAACAAAGTGTCAGAGTCGCTCTCGTCTTGGCATTTGCCGATAGGCGATCATGACGTTAGAGCGGATTCCTGATCCTCCGTCTTCACTCGACTCAAGGTGGACGAGAATTCTGACACGTTCGTATGACGCTCGTAACCCGGCATGTCCAATGTGTATTCTTGAAGGCCTGTAATTCCCATCAAGGGAGGGCAATGACCTGCCCAGCGCCACCCTTCGCACCTACGAGATTCCGTTGCGTCTCCTTTGTCCTTCATTCTCTCCACCGACTCAATTACAAGTTGAACTAGACTTACGTACATCGGAATTTTACGTTTTCTCATTAGATCCGATGCATCATTAGCGGAATGGGAAATTTTTTGGAAAGTTAGATCAAGGGTATCGATTGTTTAGAACTGGGAATATTATTTCAAGTGCAATAGTTTTTTTCTCTTTTTTTCTCTATAAAATACTAAGGTCGTGGCATGAAAGCGATGATGTTTTCCATACAAATCTATTAAACGTAAATATTTTCTTTAGCTTCTTAGTACTTTTATTACATTTATTCTTAATCGTCTGATGCTCGTATAATAATAGTGTCTTTGTGTCGAAATAAGTTATGCTACAAATGCAACGCGTACCCTTAAAGAGTAGCGGTTTGCCTTAAATGAGGATGGAAAATGCAAACGATTAGGAATACTAAGAATTTTACTTGGAGAAATTCAAACGATTTAGGTGTATAAAAGGATAACTCCGTTGCAAGAAAATAGATTCTACCGCTGCTTTAAGCCATTAAATCTTGGCAAATGTAAAATAGCTTCCTTTACCATTTAAGCAAGAAATAACATAACGGTTGAACTAACTTTGTGTGGATAATGAAATTATGCGAACAATCCATTAAGTACGAGAATATAGTTACTCTAGTCCGTTATAATTCAGTTTCTTCATTATTACCGAAATTTAGAAAAGAAAAAAAAATTGTAATTGAAGGATTATATAAATTTATTTTGCAGCTCTCGATGTTAAAAGTTAAAAAAATATTTTGATAGTAATAACTGACATAAACGTATGTACATAAATTAAAGTTAAAAACGATATTTAAAATCGACTCCTATGAAAATACATAATTTTAAGGACATGCGCATTTAATATTAATATTTGTTTACTATTCATTAGAAATATCTTTCAAGAATATTTGCATAAGTGCAGGTGCATGTGTAATAGCAGACGTATATGTCCATGGGCGCACGAGTCGGGGCGTACGTGGATGAGCGAATGGTTCTATGGATGGGTGGATGGATGAGCCCATATTGCGCCAGTCAATTTACCAATGTAAATGCATCTATGGATATAGATATGCCGTAGATGCGTGTAATTGCTTATATTATATACATAAATAATCAGATGAATCACGTGTGTGCGAGAATGGAGGTGTATTGGACTACATGGGTTAATTTATACATTTATCTTATCTGTTTACGTATTTCTCTATGAATGTATTCTTCTATGGACATATATATATATATATATATATATATATATATATATATATATACATATTTATTTGTTTGCGTATGCATACATATTTAAAATTTATATGATATAAATATTAATATACAAGTTTTATTAAATAGCCCTTTCATAAACATGACCAGAATCATAATAGTCAACTAATTAAAAGATCGAAAAACCTATAAATATGCGTATTTAATATAATCAACATATTTGACACATTTATAATAGGAATATCATGAAGATCCTATTATTTGTAATACGAAGAGGAAGCGTAATGCATAATAATAAAAGAAATGACAACTTTTTAATACGAGCAAAGACACGTAATTTTTCATTCTGATTATCCATTTTCTACATCAACACATTAATAAAACTATTATTGTAGATATATTTGAAACAATGTTCACCACATTCTAATTTTTTATCTATTTAATTTTATGAATTTCATGGATTTATGAGAATATTTTTTATGTACTACAACTTTACGTGACTTATTTGGAAATATCATTCATTAATAACATGCGTCGACCAATCTTTATTATTAGTACAGCATCTACTAATTCTTTATCGCTAGTGTTGATTATTATTTACATTACTTTCTACTAAATAATTCAGAATCGAACAAAAAATTATATAATTAAGAGGCGCACTGCTCCTTCGGATTGGCTTTGGATATATTTGAGATACACGCCGTTTGCTATAAATCACTAAACATAGAGCTATGACTGTTAATAAATGGCGGTAAAAGTCGTAAATATCTGAAATTTTACATGAATTAGAATGAAAAGACTCACCTATTAAGATATTATTGTACTAATAATGTTTTTTCAATTTTCTAAATATAATGATGATTTTACGAGTTGCTTAAAGAATATGTGAATTAGCAATTTAACCTAAAAAATTAAAAATTATTTTTGAAGATACAGATTCTATTGAAGTTTATATATTGTTTGGAGTACTTAATGAAAAATTTTCCACATGTATATTTCGCGAGACTAGGCTGCAATTTTTATCAGACTCGAGAAATCATTTCTGACTCTATTTCATACTTTCACTCTTCTTCGACTCGACTTTATTATATACATCGGATAATTCCATTTTTTTCGTGAATATACAAACAATATACACACAAGCGTCGCCTTATACATCAAATATCACAAACTATTATGAAAAATGGTAGGTAATTGTGATAATATTAAAAGCTAATGCTATTCGAATATACTTTTGTTTTTTATCATTTCATTCTATGGACTTAATTAAATTAATAAACTATTACTATGAAGGCAAAGGTATAACATTCATTCGCTTTTCTTTATTCATTCAAATTTGTTGATAAATTAAAAATCTTTTCTAATATTGGAAACAAAAAGAAAAGAAATTTTGCGTAAATATATTATTAATGAGTAGCAACACAATCTACTACAATTAATATAATATTAATTTTCTGTACAAGATTATTATAATATAATTATTAATAGTTTATTTAGCATAAGAAATAAAGTCAACGGATGTATTTAGAAAGTAACAAATATAATGTAATCGATAATGGATGAATAATAAATGCAGTTGTTAATTTAATAGAAGCTGAAATTAAATTCCATATAAATTTATAGATATTAATTAGAAAATTACATGTATATATCTAATCAATAATATATCGTAATATATAATATATCTAATCTACAATTTTATATATTACATGAATATTAATAATTTGAAACATAGGATTGCATTAATTTTCATTAATTTAATTTATTTCTTAATATAATTTTAACAATAATAATGAATTGCTCAATGTATCATATACAATAATAAAAATACAATTGGTATATTTTTCCAAAATTTTCTTTTAGATATTACAGCTTGGAATACATAGAAATTCATATCGATATATCTTTATTACATTGTTATTGTGTCTGCGCAACAAAATGACAATGAATATAATGGAAATAAATAAAAATGAAGTGGAGAGTTGTTATTATTATCCGCTTAGAACATTAACTTTGGCTCTGTATGCAGTGAGTAAAAAAAAAAAAAAAAAAGCAGAGACAGGAAGGTAGGCGGAAAAGAGAAATGTATGTGTAATAGTGAAGTTTGTCCGGTCAATTCGTCGTATTCTTTCCAGGTGTATAAATTACATTGAATTATCAGCGAACGAAACCTGCATTGTGAAGAATATGATAGACTTTTTCTCGTGGTATCTTGTCGCTTTCACGATGGGTTACCTGTGCCAAATAAAATTTTATTACCGGCGTAATATGCGCTTTCATTTACGACATTTGTTCATAAAAATTAAATAAATCATGTAGGCTACGATTATTATAGAATGATTGTCAATTGCTTACATTAGCTACAATAAAAAAAAAAAAATTATTCTATGAGAATGTTATCGTTTATCGTTTATACGATGAGTAAAGTCACTCTATCGAACTCCATAATGAACAAATAACCAAATTGCCATTTTATAATTTCCTCTTTCAAATCTAAATTATGTAACAAATATGAAATTTCACAAAATACGCGTTAAATTTAATAGCTTGTAGAAGCATAATGTAACATGTATGTTCGTAACGATTTAAACTCCAATTAAATCTATTCATTTGAAATATTATGGAAAACTTACTAATCAATTTTTAATAATATATTTTTATAAGTGAAAAGTTTATTTGTAATAATATAAGTTTATTACGTTTATTTTTAAATTTAAATATCTATTATTATTTTCTAGTCACATATTGAAAAATTTATAGAAATTAATGCTGTTACAAGCAAATTAACATATAATTCAGATAATTGGACAGTGAATAAATATATACACACACACACACACGCACGCACGCACGAACGCACACACACATATATATATATATATATTTATATTTTAGTGTAAAATAATTTAATAACATTTAACGAAAATTAGGAACAGCTACTAATTGATAAATTGATAAATTAATATTCCAATAAAATTCTTATTAAATAATAAATAATATTTAAATATATATATGCTAAATTGTGCACCGTGAAAAAACTTTTCATTACTTAGACAGATACTTTATCAATAAATAGTTGATTATATCTAATGTATGATGAAATTTAAAGTCCTATTAGCTGCTTTGCTAATGCTTTAGTACTTTAGGAAATTTAGTTCTATACTACAATATTATCACAACAGTATTACTCGAGCGTTTCAATGTGCTTAAAATAAGCTGAAATTCATAAAAGATAAATGATCAAGAAAAGATAATTTTATTTTCATTTCCATAATAGAGCTCTAAGACTTTAACAATAAAATCTTTTAATTTATATAGATAAAAAATATCATTTAACTAATGGTCCGATTAATGTTACATCATAATTAAAACGCCGTGACAAGTGAAATGAGCCAAAGTACAAATTTATCGTGACCTTAGGAGGAAGTTGTACTTTGTAATTATGACAATGAACTTATTATCTCTCATTGATTAACTTATTCTGATCAAACCAGTACAGCCGATCCTAATTCTCCCAAGGGGTCATGCCACTGTACCTGCGCCTCCTTATAACCAAACCAGGAAGGTTGAGCGAGAGCCGCGACGATATTCGGATTCTTATAAAAGTCGTTCTTCAATTCGTCGGGCAGCAACGCTTCCATGGCCTCGTTCTCCAGGATGGCTGGATGTGGCTCGGGCACCGAGCTCTGGATGAGAAACTGCGGGGCTCCGACACATATTCCAATAACTGCCAGGAGTACGAGGGTGCGGATCATGTTGGAGACCCGTGGCTCGCCAGATATTGATAGACTTGCTAGATAATTCGTTCAATGATTTATTAGACAACTGTTGTTTTTATAACGTATGCCGAGTGAATATTTTATGCTAATTAGACTATTTTCAAATTTCGTATTTCGTGTCATAGAAAAGGACGCTTGTTAGATTATATTTGCATTTATATTGCGAAACCGAGAGTGTAAGGTCCCTGTTATCCTACGCTACTTAAGATTACATGTATATTCCTAAATTATATATAGGTAACAATTATTTTCACGTACAACCACTTTCCTATTGTTTAGTTTTAATATATTATTATTGATAGAAAAATTAATCGAGTGCTTATATTACAAGATACAGTTACAAAATGAGAATTTCAACATAATTTAAAAAATATTCTAAACTATTAATTACGTATTCCATATATTATTGAACATTACATCTGGCTATAATTAATATATATATTTTTTTTTATATTAAATGTTTGGTTTTTTGAAAGTAAAGAGTACGTTTAGGAATGCGTCTATGAATTATAATTTAGTATGGTATAATTCATTCTATCATAATAAAATTTTACAATATCCCTTAGATATATATAAAAAAAAAAAAAAAAAAAAAAATACTCGTTACGTGATTATTACAAAGTATACTCAATATTAATTCATAAATTAATATAATATAATAATAAATATATCCTTGACAAACTCAGTAAAATGTATTTTTTAACGAAACATAATTAAAAATAATTCGACGTATATATATAAGAGGAGGAAAAGTTATATTAACAATAACTTGAAATAAAGGAGAAGTGTAAATTGCATAAAATAGACACAACAAATTTTAGCTTTATTTTAGTATTTTGTTAATTAGACGTATTAATTTACTTAATTTGCTCAATTATCAGAAAGCCATATGAATTCAGATCAAATAATTTTCAATCGTTATTTTGTAATAATTGTTTGCAGATTACAACATGGTTTTTAAGCCAATTTAACCCAATTTCCTTGAATTTGCTGATTCATGATCAGCACCGGAATAACCCTACTACCTAAACCTAAAAATTCAAGAAATTCAAGAAATTCCCCATTAATTTTTAAGTAAATTATGAAATTTTCAATAAATCTATTTCTATTATAATTTATATTCAAATACCTTGAATTGACCCTCTTATTGCCTCATGATATCACAGTTTCTGCATCTCTTACGCAATTTAGTGATATTTCCAAGAACAATAATTATGTAGCGTTAATTATTCTTTAGTTTCTCACAAATCATAAAATACATATGGAATTTGTACTTATTGTTAATACTCATATAATTAATATGTATTTATATAAACATATTATTCAATTTCATTAACAATCGTAAGTGAAAAAATGAAATATAAAAATATGTTTTTGTTTATAGAAGAAAACAAACATTTTCATTGAAATATTATACAAATTTTATTTTTACATTATCTAATTTAATTAATATCAAAATTCAACATTCAAAATGTATTTTATTTTGTACTAATAAATTTTTTAGCACATAATTTGTATGTATATAATTAACAAAGGTTAATTGAATAATTTTGATCATTTTATAAAATAAAAATTTCTAATTGCTATAATATTAATATCTATAAATTCTTAGGCTTTGGTAACTAAAATAAAAGCATATCGTACGTAACAATTAGTTAACATAATGCTTTATCGTTTAATTGTATGTTAAATTATGTATGCGTGTGCGTGTGCGTGTGCGTGTGCGTGTGCGTGTGCGTGTGCGTGTGTGTGTGTATAAATATTTAATATACTTAAATGGGTATAAAAATAAATCGTATACAAATAAGAATAAAACATAATATAACAAAAATATATAATCTATATTGTTAAAAACGTTATGTATGTATATATATATATATATATATATATATATATATATATGAATGTTATCGAACTTTTTAAATAATAAAATTGAATTTTTTCGTATTTTTAATCACGTAATTGAATCTATTTGATTATTGATAATAAATCTTCGTTTATTTATACTTGAACTAATTAAACTCTTTTAAATTGTATTCTTCTTCTGACTTCTGTTAAAAACCATTGCTACTATGTTATAGTCATTCTAGAAAAGGAAGGCCTTCTATTAACGCCCCCGCTTCGCTATGGCTAATGGCTGCTCATACCACTAACGACATATTGATGGCATTGCACTTCTTTTCAAGAACAGTTTCCGCTAGAAAGTGTGCACAAGGCGCAATCGTTTGCGTAATTTTCGTAATTCATTCTGTTCTCCTAACACTGATCGCAATGATTCAAGCACTTTTTTTTCCACTAATCTCTTGATTTTGTCGAATCCAAGGGGATCAACCTTTTCTGTTCGTTAAGTATTTAGAAATTCTACGGTAATTAAATAAGAATTCTTCTAGCTAATGGACAATGTTTAATTATTCATACAAATTGTTGAATATAAATAATTACTATTACGTTACTGAGGTTAGAATTTTTGTGCTATTATGTTATCTATATTTATACAAATTATTTTAAATACAATAATAAATTATTTCAGATAGTTGATAGTATTTATATAACAATAAGTATTAGAAATTTTAATTAAAAGATTAAGAATAAATGGCCTTAGATTGGATTGGTAAAATGATTCTAAATGTATGTAGTTATTTACTATTCGTATAAATTTTATTAAAAATTCCTCTAAAATAAGTAAACATTCAAATATTTAAGTATTTTTGTACATGCATGTTTTACACGCAAAAGCGTGGATAAAAAAGATTTTTCAAATGGCGAGCTTTCATAGATATCGGATATTCTGGAATATTACATTTTTTTCATAGTTTACATACTTTATTTCCTAAGAATACAAATTTTTAGATAAAATCAATTATTTCAAATATCATAAACTTAAACTCTAGCTTTAAACAAATAAAAGAACAATTTAAGATTAACATTTAAAATACTATGTAGTCTTTATAACTTGTCTAACTTTTCATCGCTAGAAAACTAAGTAATCTATACTTTCACACGTCTACTCATGCGCGATTGTGTACGCATATAAATATGTATATCAATAAGTATCAATGTATTCCAACTGTGGATACTTGACACTATTACGCTAATTCAAAGTTAAATATTTTATCTTTCTATTTTGAATTTTGTAATTTTTAATTTTATACTTTATTGGTATTTGAGAATAGAATATATCCTCATTATATACTAATTATTATCAATATATTAATAATTAATTAGAAATATTGATGAAATATTGAAAAATTATAGTTCACTTATGATACTATGAATAAGCATTTTGTGAAATGAATTTCACATTAGTAATAATAGTTCCTCTTTTTTAAAGTGCAAGCAAAATGAATTTTCATGTACAGAGTATAAACAACTGTAGCATAACTAATAATATATATCTACATATCTATATATATATATATATATATATATATAGATATTAAATGATAATTCATCTGTTAAACGAAGCACTCAAGATAAATTAATCAATAATAAATCCAGCTATTGTGGAGAAACTGTGAACTTCACTTACACAAAAAAACTTCAAAGATAATGCACAATTTGAATCTTCAAGTTCAAGTCAATGAAACACAAAGGCGTGTGTCGTGATACCTGGCGTGTAACTAAACACAAGTTCCGTGTTTGCTGGTCTCTTATATAGACAGTGCTGGCAACCTGGATATAGGAAGCCGAGTTTATTCTTATTTTTTGTCCTCCCCGCTCGTTACTTCATTTTCCGCGGCTTCGATACTACCACCGCACATTAAGACCTCGCAACTCTGGTCATTGGTCCTGTGAAACACGAAACCAAGAACCAAGAGAAGGCTCGCCTTGAGAGAAAGAAAGAAGGAGACTCAGTTGCCATTGCCTCCTTGAAAACTAAGTCAAGGGTAAACGCACGAGGCAGTTGTTTCGTATTTTTTTTTCTTTTTTTTTTTTCTGGCATTCCTCTCTGGTTTGTTTTTACATGATTCATCGAAAGGAGCGAGCACCACTGGAATGATTTTCAACCCTTCATTACGTTGCAGTAGCGCTTTAGCCTTTGTGACGTCGAGGAACGATTGTAAGGATTGGATACAAATTTATAAAAAGAAAAGTAAACGTTATTCTTACTGAATTATATGGATTGTCATTGTGTAGAGTTTCTTAAGGATTTCTCAAATATTAGTTTAATATTTCAATTTCATTTCTCACGAAAGGATATATATATATTTATGAGATGTATCCGTATAATACGTCGATAGATTTATATCTTATGAAATGGCTATCCTCGTAAATAACCTTGTTAAAGCAAAAAAAAAAAAAAAAAAGAAAAAAAAAGAATCAGTCGAATACCTATAAGGAAAGTTATAAGAGATCAATGAGATCAAGATCAATGAATTCTGTTCTTCGATTTATTTAGTTTCTAACAACTTCCGCGTATGTATAGTCAATTTTAATTAAATGTAAATATATAATAGATAATTAAATGTTGGTAAAATTAAATTAACGGACAAGTTGTAAATGGAACTTTAATTCAATCAAATTTAATTTAATTTTTAAATTAATAAAATTTTAAATTAATTTAATAATTTAAGAGAACTTTATTTTAATTTGTAAATCATAATTTTTCAAACTCGTTAAAAGTGCTATTTTTAAAATCTATTTTTATAAATCATAGCGACATTTCTTTATTTATAGATCTTATTCTTATATGAAACTTAATATAAAAAATATGAAAATCACTCATGATAATAAAAGAAAGTAATTAATAAATTTATTTTTAATTTTGATAAAATCATCTACAAACTAATCATCAAAACATAATTGTATTTTTTTTTTTTTTTTTTTTTTTTTTTAAATAATCTGTTTTGCTAGAAAGTATTTATTACTTCGAATTCACATTAGAATTTTAGGGATTTATGAAAAATCATAATTAATTGGGATGCCAATGATTGGCAATTTGTATTAAAAAATGATTTAAAATAATATTTTCAAAATTATTTTACAATTACTTTTCTATTAACACCTT